TGTGAATCCTATGAACCTTGCATTTTACCATTGTTTTAACAATGGTAATATGCAGGATTCATAGGATTCACAAAATCCACTTATCGCACTAATTCGAAAACAGCGATAATGATTTACGAAATTTAAGAAATCAAAGAGATTTAATGGTTGTACAATTCTTATAGGATTATTCCAAAATTCTGGTCGGAATTCTTTGAAAATGGGATGGGCGATACTGGTCAGGTTTTATAGCGAAATTATCCGCTGGGCATTTTTTGCTTACAAATAGACTTTATGAAATTTTAGGAGTCTTGAGTAAAATTGACCGATTTCGGCCACTTATCAGGGTTTGATGCATTTTGTTCAGAATTTTGGGATCTTCCTGTGGGTTCTCCTGTATAATTACTAATTTCCAAGTAGAATAAATCTTTGGGTTAATTGAATTTTTACAAGACGTTTACAGATAAAAAAAAAAGTTTAATAAAATAAATTTTTGAAGTAATTTTTGTGACTATATTGAGGTAATTTAATAAGGTTGGTTATAAAAAATCATGTGATAGTGACTATAGTGGATTTGTGACTATATCGAGACTAATAAAATATAAATTAGATTGGTAAAAAAAAAACTGTGATTATAATGAGGTTGTGATTATAACGAGGGTGACTATAACGAGGTCTGACTGTATAAATAAAATTTTTTAAACTCTCATTTAATTTCAAAATGTGCCACCCATTTATTAACTTTGAAACTCTTATTAAAATTATAATATCTATTAAATCAAGTGGTCTCTTTTTTTAATAATCTGCATAATTTATATTGTTTTATAAAGACATATATATCAAAATAGTATCCTAAATCTCTTAGAGATTAGACCGGGTTAAATTTTAACTATTTGAATAAGAGTTTTATTATTATTAATTCCAATTAAATTATCAAAATTAATGCGCAAGCCTATTAACAACCAATATATATTATTACGACTAAAAAGAGACTTTATAACTATACAATTTAGCAACTAGGCATTTGATATGTATTTTATTTAATTTATCATCATTACTATATAAAGTATAATCTAATATAAAAATTGTATATATGATCTTGCACATACATACAGAATAAAATTATTTTTAAGCAATCTTTATATCAAAGCTTTATAAGTCAAATCTTTTTATAATTAACTATTACTATAATATAACAATTCTTTTTTACTTTTAGAATTATTAATTTATCTTAGAATTAACTATATTTATTTATTTACAATATATAAAAGATTCAATAAATGCAGACGGTTCTAAATTATCAATAAAAAGGTATGATAATTTCCATTTTGCATTTGGATCATCTGCTGGATGAATATTACACATTCTTACTTGAAATTTCTGATCTAAATTACCATTAAGCAACAATTCGTCATCACTATATTCAACACAATTTTCATGATCAATTTCTTTAATCTATTGAGAAATAATTGCATTCAATTGAATTTCACTTTCTTCAGTATTTAATTCCATAAACTCATTATTATTATCTTCCACATCATCGTTATCACTTACTACTAAATTTTCTTCATCATTAGTTTGATAATCTTTCATATATTTATTAGAATTATCAGAAACAATTGGAGTTGCGATATGAAGTCTTTTTACTTGTTGATCAGACTGAATAACTTCTTTAATTTTATGTTGATATAAAATTTTACTTCGAATTTGGCTTATTTCAAGAACTTTAGTGTACTAAAAAAAAAAAAAAAATTAGTTCAATTTAAATAAAATTTATTTAATATATATATATATATATATAATACAAACTAATAAATGGTTTCGTCTAATAGTGTAAAAAAAACTCATTGAAGACCACAAACGTTCAACTGAAGCTGAATTTACACAAATTCCATGAATATAAATAAAAATCTTAACTAATTCTGGTCCAACTCCTATAGTTGATTTCTAAAAATCTAAAATATTGCCTTTAAACTATAGAAAATAATTATTATTATATGAATCATCTCCTCTTTTATAACTAACTAGCTCTGCTAAAATGCTTTTAGCTGGAGTTCCAAAAAAGACGAGATAATAATATTTTAGCTATTGATCAACATGTGTTCATATTAAGTTATTTAAAGTTGATCAAAAATTTGATAATTTATATGATGGATAAAGGATAATTGAAAGTAATAAAAGAGGCTGTTCCCAACTTTTCCATCTATTTTCTATTCTAAATACTATTTTTTCTACAAAATCTAAATCATGATATTCAGAAAAAATTTTCATAGTATATGCAAAGTAATGTACTACTTCATAAAGTCGAGCAGAATTTTTTTGTAATCTATTAAGAAACCCACAAATAGGATACAATAAGTTTTACAAAGAAAATAGTATTGTTCAAAATTCAAAATCATTAATACTATCCGCAATATCATCAGGTAGTTTGGGTTCTCCATTACTTTTTTTAGATCATTTATTAACTGAAATATTAGGAATACCATTAGTACAAATAATATTTGCATGTTCTGAATTAAACTTGGCAGATAAAAACTATATTTATTATAAATAATAAATTAAATATATATAATTAAATATAATAGATTAAACTTTACAATTAATTGATAATCCACCTATGAACTGAAGAATAGGCGAAATGAGACGTCTACTATCTAAAACTTTTTTTCTTACTAAGTTAACAACACATGTCCATTAATTGAAAATTGTAGAGCTCGTCGAGACGCATCTAACGGTGGTTAGATCATCCAAATCGGCCCAGTGGAGGCGAGATATTGTCAAAATACGATTGCCCGACTATAAAAAATCTGTGACAGAAATTATATACGAAAATCATCATCGGTGAAATGTGGCGTGCTCCCATCTAAAACTTTTTTTTTTACTAAGTTAATGACACATGCTCATTAATTGAAAATTGTAGAGCTCGTCAAGACGCCAATTTACTTATTTGCGCCGGTGATACAAACCTAAAAATGGAATAGATCATCATAGTTCATGTGACAAGAAGCTGATTGGCTGATAATCAAATGTCAGAGCTTTGTATGTGTTACAAAGATCGATAAAAATTTGATATTACTAAAAGAACTTTTACGCGATTTTATTACTGAAGACATTTATTTTTATTATTTTATTTTTTAAA